GCGTAGGTAACAGCTGCACCCGCCACCTCCACAACCACACCAAAATTACAACTAAAATACAGAACCACCATCACTCAGAGCCTCCTGAAATCTGGCTGAACAGAAGCCCTACAACGAAGGAACCGGTAGGAGGGGCGGAGGAGCGGAGGGATCAGGACTGAATTGCTGAGAGGCACCCATGGGCACACACCCGGTGCTGCAGTCGGTGGTGGGGGTTTCCCGGAGGGGTGAGGGGTCCCAGCCCCACAGCAGGGCCCCAGCCCAGGGCTCCAGGGCCGGGAAGAGATGTCCCCACAACTCTGGACTGTGAAACCAGTGGTGACTGTCCCTGAGGGTCGCGGAGGCTGTGGGAGCCCCAGCAGCTCCTCTAAAGGGCCCGCGCACGGATTCACTCAGATGTGCTCCCTCTGAGCCCCAGCGCCGGGCAGGGACACTTGGGGAGGTACTAACCTGCCTGAAATCGGGGCCAGAGGTGGAGGGGCAGCTTCCTCCCAGGCAGAAGGGCTGGTGGAGGCCACGGTTCCTTTGGTGAGTCCTCCCAGCACACAGCTGGCAGGCAGGCGCAATATCTGAATTGCCAGTACCTCACTCACACCCTTCGCCCACCCTGGTGATTCCCAGAGACCCCGCTCCTCCCTATCTGCAAGCTCATCCATGCTATTACCAGTGGCTTTTCCATGCAAGTGGCCTCTCGAGCCTTATGCTTAGGACTGTCCTAAAATCTCTCAAACAAGCAGCAGCGTGCTCCATACAGATTGATACGTGGCCCCACGCCTGGCACTAGTGGCAGCCTGCACTGGCTCACAGCTTGGCCTCTCCTGGACAACACCAAGCCCAGCACAAGTAGCAGCCAAGTATAGTTTGCTGTGTAGCTCATGCTGGGTGGCCCTGGGCAAGGCAATGGAAGAGGCTGACTTTGCACCTCCTTGCAGGCCTCAGAGACAGTGCACCTGGTGGTCAGACTCAACCATGCTGGTTTACAACCCTACCACATCTACGAGTGACACTCAAGGGGCACACTTGGTGAACACCAAAGCTCCACTGAAGTAAATCCTGATCCATAGTGGTGTCTCCAGCACAGCAGTTCTTTGGCTGTAATTGCAGCTGGACCTCACAGCAGACTGACCTGGGGGTCAATTCCTCCCAGTGATTCTAACAGCAACCAAGGCTCAACTATAACAGGTCAGAGCACACAGCCCACACAGGGGAGCACCTAGAAGGCCCAGCTCAGGTGACTGGGGAGGCTGAGCCACTGGACCCTACAGGACACCTACTACACAAAGCCACTCTACAAATTCCAGGAGACATAGCAGCTCTACCTAATACATAGAAACAAACACCAGGAAGCAGCCAAAATGTGGAGGCAAAGAAACATGTCACAAAGGAAAGAACAGAAGAAATCTCTAGAAGAGGAACTAAATGAAATAGATCCAAGCAAGCTAACAGATAGAGAGTTCGGAATAATGGTTATAAGGATGTTTAAGCAGATTGTTAGGGAAATAACTGAGAAAATCGGTAATATAATAAAGTACCAATTTCAAATGAAGGCTACAGGAACTGAAATGAAGAATAATTTACAGGGAATCAACAGTAGAGTAGAGGANAGAATCAAATCAGCAATTTGGAACATGAGGAAACAAAAAACACCCAACCAGAAGAGCAAAAAGAAAAAAGAATCCAGAAATATGAAGATAGCATAAGGAGCCTCTTGGACAACTTCAAGAGGTCCAACATTAGTATTATTGGGATACCAGAAGGAGGAGAGCAAGAAATTGAAAACCTATTTGAAAAAATAATTACAGAAATCTTCCCCTACCTGGGGAAAGAAATAGACTTACAAGTCCAGGAAGCACAGAGGGTCCCAAACAAGAGGAACCCAAAGAGGCCCACAGCAAGACACATCATAATTAAAATGCCAAAGGTTAAAGACAAAGAGAGAATCNAAGCAGCAAGAGAAAAGCGGTTAGTTATCTACAAGGGAGCACCCATATGACTGTCAGCCGATTTCTCCACAGAAACCTTGCAGGCCAGAAGGGAGTGGCAAGAAATATTCAAAGTGATGAAAAACATGGAACTACAACCAAGATTACTCTACCCAGCAAAGCTATCATTTAAGGTCAGAAGTGAAGGTCAGATAAAGAGCTTCTCAGACCAGGAAAAGCTAAAGGAGTTCATCACCACCAGACCAGCACTACAGGNACCAGGAAAAGCTAAAGGAGTTCATCACCAAACCAGCACTGAAGGAAAAGTTGAAGGGTCTTCCTGAAGAAGAAGCTAATGAACAAAAGAACCTGACAGACTAAATAGATCCAGAGACAGTGACACAGGCAAAAGAGGATCATATTTCAGAGGAAAGAGGGAAGGGGGGTGGAGGGTGGGAAGAGATTAACCAAAGAAGTTATATGCATATATGCATAACCCATGGACACAGTCAATAACGGGGTGATGGCCTGGGGAAAAGGCAGGAGCGAAATGGAGGGGGTCAATTGGGGGGGCGGGGGAAATGGGACACCTGTAACACTCTCAACAATAAAGATAAATTTAAAAAAATAAAAAAGAGTTAACAAATGCATACTGCTGGGGTGGCCTTATTAGCACAGGCTGGAACATCTGCTGGTAGGCGTTAAAACTGCTGCAGAAAGTTTCATCATGAGGACAGAACCAATTACTGTGGTAGGTAGGGTGTGATCATGTTCTTAATCATTCACTGAACACTGTTTACTAGCAGTGATTCTTGGATTAAGATATGTAGACTTTAGTTGTAGATATGTAATATTTATTTTTGTCAGCGAATTTACTATAATGTTTTTACTAATGTATGGTCTATTTGCTAAAATCTGTTAAAAATAACAGTGAATTAATAACAACAAAAAAGATCTGTTAATTTAATTATTACCAAATCTTGGTTATAAGTATTTTAAAGTAAACAGGAGTGTTAATATTCACATATGACATATGGAGCGGAAGTATTATCTGTTAAATTCTTAGTCCATCAAATCTAGGTCCACAAAATTAAGGGTTTACTGTATACCTCTATTTGCAAATGGCATGAACTTATATTGAGAAAATTCTAAAAATCTATAAGGGAACTGAATTCAGCAAAATATAAAATTCAAAAATACACAAAATCACTTGTATTTCTAGGTACAAGCGATAACTGCAAAAAATACATTAGGAAAACAATTCCACCTACAAGAGCAGCAACAAGAATAAATATTTAGAAAGAAATAAACCAAACTAAGAAGGTGAAAGAAATAAAACATCTAAATAAACAAAATGACCACCTGTGCCCATGTATTTAAGGTCTTAATATTGTTAAAATGTCAGTACTAACCAATCTAAGCAGTGTACAGATTTAATGTAATCTCTTTCAATCCTAAAATTAACATAAACTCAATTTTAAAAGGGACTTGAAAAGGCATTTCTCCATAGAAAGTATACTATAAGTACACAATAAGATACTCAACAGCACTATTCATTAGGAAATAAAACTGAAAACTATGAGATAACCACCTAATACCCATTAGTATAGCTATTATTTTAAAAACCAGCATATAACAAGTATGGGAGGATATATGGGAAACTGAAACCTTTTTACATTGTTGGTGGTAGTATAAAATTATGCAGTCACTGTAAAACTCAGTTTGTTGGATCCATATAAAGTTAAACATAGAATTACCATGTGACTTAGCATATCCATGTCAAGGTATACAGTCAAGAAAACTGAGAATGGGGACTAAAATATCTGTGTTCATAATAAAAATCATAATAGCTCTATTCACAATAGCCAAAAGTGGAAACAGTGCAAGTGTTCACCAACTGATGAATGCATAAACAAAAATGTAATATATACATACAATGGAATATTATTCAGTCTTAAAAATGAAGGAAGTTCTGAAACATGATACAACATGCATGAACCTTGAGAATATTAGGCTAAGTGATATAATCCAAACACACAAAGAAACTAATATTGTATAATTCTATTTACATGAGGTACTGACAAAGTCAAATTCACAGACACAGAATATATAGATTAGAGGTAACCAAGGGCTAGGAGGTTTGGGAATTGAGAATTATTGCTGAAAAAAAATTGGGGTGATAAAATAATTTAAGACTTGTGATGACTGCACAACATTGAAAACATTCTGAAGGCCACTGAATTGTCCACTTAAAAGTTGTTAAAATATCAAACGTTTTCCTATAATCAAATCTTATCCTTGGTTTTGCTTTCTATGGTTTCAGTTACCACAGTCTCCCACAGTCTAAACTATTAAAGGAGTATTTCCAGAAGTAAACAGTTCATAAGTTTTAAATTTCATGCTTTTCTGAGTGGTGTGATGTTGCACCATGCTACAACATCCCACCTGGGATATGAATCATCTGTTTGTTCAGGGTTTCCACGATGTGTAGGCCCCACCCTTTAGTCACTTTAGAAGCTGTCCTAAGTATCAGATCAATTATCAGAGAGACTGACATAACTTTTATATTGTTGTAATTGTTCTATTTTATTATCAGTTGCTGTTAATCTTTTACAGTGTCTAATTTATAAATTAAACGCTGCCATAGGAATGTAAATAGCAGTATATATAGAACTTGGTACTGTCAGGGTTTTCACACATTCACTGGGGGGGTCTTAGCATGTATATTTTACCACAATGTAAAAAAGTGTGAGAGAGAGAGAGTGTATGTGTGTGTGTGTGTGTATAAAGGGTGTGTGTATACATTTTGGGGGGGTATCACACACATGTATATGTCACACCACACTAAATTAATAAAAACACAATAAATGCACAATTGGCATTTTGCAGAGATAAAAATCACACATCTTTGGTTAAGTGAAACATATTATAAATATAAGTTTCCTAAACCTCAAAATTCTAATGTAGATAAGAAAAAAATTTCCTTATTTAATTCTTGAAATACATTTTGATCAAAATTAATTCATATCTGCTTAAACACAAGGTCAACTTTTGGCCCAAATTTTAAAAATCACTTACTTGCTGGGACAGTGCAGTAATAAATCAATAATAAATGTCTGCCAGGCCTTTTCTTTACTAACAGCATCCAAGGCTGTTGGAATTAGAGCAAAACATAATGTCATCACTTCCAATGCTTCACAGCAAACCTGTTCATCTTCCATGTCTGGCTCATTGCTTGCATTGGTGGTCTATAAAATTATAATCAAAAGTAAATTACCTAGTGACAGAGTGTTAAAAACTCACAATCCTTCTAGTTAGCACTTAAAACTTACCTACTCACTAAAGACACTTTGTCTTCAGTCTCTTTACCTGCAGCTTTTGAGACCCTTTAAGAGGATTAAAGGAGCATGCTCGGTAAAAGCTAAATAGCACTTTCTTGATCTTCTGGGTGAAAACGATGTTATTTTCTGCAAAAATCATGATTCCCTTCTAAAAAAAAATCACTATCACACTGCAGTTTGGGTCTTTAACTTTAGTGTATAGTTATCTAAAATGCTATTTTATTAAAAAAGCAATTGCCTCTAATCATTAAAAAATCAGTACAAAAAATGTCTGAAACAAAATAGTCATTCAAATATTCTAAAAAATCAATGGTGTACAATTACTCATTTTCCTCTCTCATATATATAGAAGTGGCTATCCATGACAGGAAATACAGCAGAAAATCAAAGAGCTAAACAAAGCCTTATTTCTGCAAAGAATATGCTTACTTAAACAAATGCTAGAGGTAATACTTAAATGGTGGAAGAAATCTTTCCTGCTTCTGAGTGCTCTAAAAAAACCAAGTAAAATATTTCAATACCTTGATTCCACAATTACTGTTATCAAGATTTACAGAGAATAAAATATTGAAGAGGAAAAATTAAGAACTGGGAAAAGCAAATCCATTACAGCACAACTATGCTCAATCCAACGAGAAGTTTTAAAAAATAAGTTTTAGAAAAAGGCTGCCAGCTGCCTTACAGTGAGATACTGAACTGTTTTAATTTTAAAACAAAATATCTATTTATTCTCACCTTAATTACAGCTGGAATTTTATTTTAAACCATTAGATATAAGGGGTTTGAGCTTTAAATATGGCAGACATGATGGAAATTTAGTCATGTACAATGATCATTTACATAAAAGGAATATAGCTCTGTAATAATTCTTACCATCTCATAAATTCTAGTGATTTCTTCATTTGGGCTATATACTAGCTCTAATGCCCCACATCCTGATGCCCAGATGATTTTTTGTATAGCTGTAATCACACAGGTATCAGGCATATGTCTTGATGCCTGAAAGAAAATGAGTAATGATAAAGCAAAATTATCAGAAAAAATGTTTCTCTTTGTAAAAGAAATAGTAAAAATGGCTGTAAATAAAGTGAATATGCTTCACAGTCTACAAAGTCCAAAGTAGATTTGGTCTCCCTTTTTTCTGTTATCTTCTACCACGTCAAATGTATGTAGATGAAGCAAAAAACACATTTATCAGAGAGATTGGTGTACTTCAGATTAAAATCTAATCTGGCTCCATAGTATTTCTTATTAAGAATTTCTTAATTGCTTTACTCCCAATGGTCAAAAACTTGGACTATGCAGGATGACCTAGAAATGTAACTTATTTAAAATGGAATAAACTACAAACATATCAAATAACAAGCTTAAATTTAAAAATCATGCTGATTTAAAGACTGCAGATACTAAACAGTACACAATACAGTAAGCCCTCGATTTTTGCGGACCTTGATTTAATGTACAATATTTCCGGAACTGTATGTTATATGTGAAAATTAACCCCCTGTTAATTTAAAAATCCTTTTAACCAAGATTTGCCTATAATTAAATTAACAGGTCATTTTTGTGTGTTCACTCTAGTTTTGAACAGATTTTAGCAAATAGGCCATATGTTGGTAAAAACACTGTTGTGATTTCACCAACATAAATACTACATATCTACAACTGCAGTCTACATATTTAAATCCGAGAGCTACTGCTTGTTAACAATGTTTTGTAAATGATTAGAACATGATCACACCACACCCTGGGGAGAGGTAACTGGTTCTGTAGTTTTGTGGTGGGACTTTCTGTAGCAGTTTTAACCTGTGCCATCGATGTTGCAACGTGTACTAGGCCACGCCCCAGCTGCATGCATTAGTTTACTGGAGATGACTGGTGAATGCAAGCATTTATTACACTTACTCAGCATAAATTTAAAATTACAGTAATACAGAAAATTTTTGTCTTATATTAAACTTTTCATACCTTCTTACTTTTAATTACACGTGTCTAAGTAAGTAAAAATGGGTAAATTAACTTCTCAATTTTTTAACATATGCATTTGGAAAACCTACTTTATTACATAACTGACTTTCTGCTTTAATGGACAACCCCCTAGCCCAAATTCGTCTGTTATATTGAGGTTTTACTGTATGATTCTATTTATGTAAAACTTATGACAATGAGAACTACTCTACAGTGACAAACTAGGGGCAGAAATCTTTGGGGAAGCTAATGAAAATGTTGTTTCCTCACTACATCACAGAGTTTAAACATCAAAACTCACCAAATTCTTTATTTTGATTTAGTGTGTGGAGTATAAATTACACCCCAAAGTCTGTTTAAAAAAGTTTTAATTTTTATTTTATTTATTTACTTATTTTAAATCTTCACCAGAGGATATTTTTTCCATTACTTTTTCAGAGAGAGTGGCGAGGGGAGAGAGAGAGTAGAGAAAGAGGAGAGAGAAGGAAACATCAATGTGAAAGAGACACATCAACTGGACGCCACCCCTACTTGCTTCCAGAGGGGCCAGGATTGCTCCTGCAACTGAAGTACATACCCTTGACTGGAAATGAACCCAGGACCCTTCATTCCAAGGGATGATGCTCTAACCACTGAGCCAAATTTGCTAGGGCGTGATATTCTTTATTTATGAGTAAATAGAGACTAGATCAGAGTAGTAAAGAAATACACCATTCAAGATCCCAGAGCTTTCAAAGTTTAATACTAACCTCATCAGATATTTGCTGAGCAAGACGAATCGATACATTTCTAAGCATGCACTCAGATGATGGATTAGGAATGCTTTGAAGGGCATTTTGTAGCACCACTGCTTGATTATGAGTAACTTGGTTAATCTGAAAAAAAGTTAACCTTCTTACTAGGAGTGAAAAACTTGCACATAACTAAATTTCAAGTGTGAGGTACGTAATAAAAACCCAACCATTTGCTTCTCATTCATTACAACTGTTAAGATGTCATCCTTCCTGCCCTGCCGTTGTGGCTCAGTAGTTGAACAATGATCTAGGATCCAGGCGGTCAAGGCTGGATTCCCAGTCAGGGCACATGCCTGGGTTGCAGGCTTGATTCCCCAGTAGGGGTTGAGCAGGAGGCAGCCAATCAATGACTCATCATTGATGTTTCTCTCTCTCTCCCTCTCTGAAATCTATAAAAACATATTAAAAAAAGTCATCCTTCTGCATATCCATTGTAGATTTGTTTTGCCTAAAAAGCAATTCACATTGCCAACACTGTAAATATCTTCTCTTAGTCGTCTTTTCAAGTGAGAATACTCTTCTGCAAACTCCAATTTCAGATGAAGTCAATATTATTTCTATTACTGGGTTCGCTTTCACTTGCAGGGGATAAATGACAGAACTTAGAACAACTCTTTTGTCTCTAGGTAAATCCTCTCCTCAGCCTTCCTTTCTCAACAGATGGCCACGCCTGCTATAATATGACTGAGAAAACGAAACATATCAGATAAGTAAACTTTCAATTTTTTAATCCCCTGATCTCTAAATTTTTATGTCTCACTTCCTTCCCATTCATTCACTCTTTCAAATATTCCTGTAATGTTCATCTGAAAACATGTTCAAGTCCCCAGAGCTTAATCTCTCATCTTCTCTTCTCTTTCTTTTAGTTTTTGTTTTTTGGTGTGTTTTTTTTTTAAAAAGTGTTTTTAATACATGTTTTAAGAAAGTCAACAGTTTGTAGTGGTGTTCCTGTAGCCAGTAAGCGGACAAAGCAGAAGACTTAGTAGGTATAATGATTCCAGTTTTTCTAACATCAAATCAGAGTTTAAAATCTTATTTCATTTATGTCTATTTATTGTTAGTACATGTTATTTTAATCCTTCAATAAATATTTGAAGATCTTTTTCGCATGTGCTACTACCTGATTTCTAACAAGCAAATGTAACAGAAGTGGTTAAAGTAAAGTTTCAGAGTTAGCCTTCACTGCTTCACTGAGTTTAACTATCAGGTCGTTTTTACTGTTTCGCCAAGTTATTTCATCTCTTTAAATCTTAATTTTCACTTGTAAAATAGGTGTAGTAAGAGTGACTCACCAAATATAGCTATATGAATGATTAAATGAGATAAAGTATGATAATTATAGCATAACAGTGTTCCATATAATTTGATCATTATTTTCCAATAAACTTGAATACAGATAGAAATCATGTAAGGCTTTAACTTACTTCTAGCAATATGTGTGTAGAATATAAAAATACATGGTAGATTTGTTGAATGAATAAGAAGTTACATGTTTTAAAACAATTCACTTTTATTAATATAATAGTTTATTTTTTAGATCAGCAAAGTCTTGTGGCACGTTTCTTATACTGAAACCTTCCTTGATAAGGTCACTTTTGATATATTAATTTCTAATTCAACTCAAATAACTTAGATGAGAATTAGGTATGTTCTGCAGGATAAAAATAACTGTATCCTTTAACTATAAAATTGCAGAACTAAGTATTTTCTATTTAAAAAGCAAGCCCCCAAACTCTTCATGGGAAAAAAAAATTATGTTAAACAAGGAATAATAAAAGTGAAACTGTGCAAAACGTACACTAAGTTTTACTTAAAGTATAAATAAGTTCTTAAATCCCTGAGGAAAAATACCTAGAGTTAATTTTATCCAAATTATTCTATTTCTCAAATTGTAACCCTTTTCTTTATATTATAGGTACTTCTATAGTAATCATATTTTTAATACTAATTTTGTATTTAGCTCCCTACTACAATGTGGGCAACCTGAGATTGTACACTATTCTAAATACCAAATATCTAATCATTATTCAAATTTCCCTAAGAACTAACCCACTGCTTAAAAAAAAAAATCTGTATTTCTACACCATTTTATCTTCAGTCAGTAATTTATTTATTTGTTTTCTAAAAAAAATATTTTTATTGATTTCAGAGAGAAGAAGGGGGGGGGAGAGAGAGAGACAGACACATCAATGATGAAAGAGTAATAGATCTGTGTGCTCCTCACTGGGGATCCGAGCCTGCTACCCGGGCATATGCCCTGACTGGGAATCGAACCAAGTTCTTCTGGATCATAGGTTGCTGCTCAACTGCTGAGCCATGCCAGTAGGGCTTCAGTTAGTAATTTAAAAAAATCAGTCATAAATAAATGAAATCAATTTTAGTAAGAATTAAACACCATATTCAACCTTTGGACCAAATCTCAGCATATCTTCAGAACAATGAGAGATGTGCATCAAGGATGATACCAGGGCAAAGACAATTTTTGTCTAGAGGATTATATTAGTAATGGTAGGAGGAGAGGCAGGCAACATGCCAATTAAATCTTTTCTTTTATTACCCTATCTTTATGTATCTGTCAGTATGGGTTAACAAAAGATTCACGTGAAGTTTTTATGAGAGTTAACTGAAACTCATCATAGAAGGGATGAGGTGTCCTCTGAGAATCAGTAAAGAAAATTTACATTATAATACAAATATAACTTAGTATACTGAGTTGAACTTGCATTGTTTACTTCAGAATTTAACTTTAAAAATTAAGTATTAACTATAAAATTTATTTTAAAGATTTAAGAAAACTTATTACCGGTGTTACAGGATCTGTACCATCTATAACTGGCTGACAAGATTCTGCTACAGCACGAACATGACCATAGCCTACAGCAGTTAACAACAGTTTGGCAATTTTCAGGCCATTGAAGTAAACACTCCTTCGAGTTTCCGTATCTGTATTTGGCAGGAAGTTATTTCTTGTTAGCATATTCAATATGAGGGATAAGCCACCACTTTTCAAGAAGTGAAATTGAAAATCAGAGGAATCATCTGCCAAAGGTGCACCAGCAGGCATTAACAAGGCATAAACTACCTAGAAAAAAGGTGGAGGGGAAATTTAATTAAAATATTAGGGAATAATTTAAAACTTAACTTCCTTTAGCAACATTACTAAGAGATTTTAAACTATTTCAAAAGATTATAATCTTATACATTTTCCTATTATCATATGATAATACAAAGTACAGTTTTATAAAGGAAAAAACAACCTCTGTTAGGTATAGCACTTGGGAGGCAGAAGGACCAAACAAAAGTGAATCAAGAGATGGTCCAAGGCGATTTTCTTCAAGTTTTGTATGGTCCAAACAAAGAGCTCGTAATTTTTCTATTGTTGTGGTATCTGCAAATAATAACAAAAAACCAAAAAACCTAGATTAATTTAAAATATAACACATATGTTAACCGATTACATTTGATATATTGATGAGTATTATCTTTAATATGAAACATAATCAACAACCATCAATTAGGCTAAGTATAAGATAAAATGTTACAAGATATGACCAGACCTAAACTGGTTAATAGTCAACCAGAACTCTTTAATTATTAACCCAAAATATGAAGGAAAGTTTTCCTACCCAGAGACTTCAAATCAACATGTCCTCCTGCAACATAAGACAGAAAACAAAAACAAACAAAAAGCCCACAACACTGAAAAAGAATTAGCTTTTCTTAACTACAAACAACACAAGCTCCAAGTTCTCAATTATTTACCTCACATGATATTATACATGAACTACTTTTGCTTTATTAAAGAAAACTGAGTTTCTAGAAAAGAACAAAAGAAAAAACTGTATCTTAAGGTATAGATACACGTAAGAGAAGCTTTTCATTTTCCTTTTATTATTTTATAAAGATGTGAAACTTTTAAAAAACAATGACGAGATATAATGAGATAAAATCCCATCTTGGAAGGAAACATGGGAAGTAAATCTTCATGATCTCAGGGTTAGGCAATTTCTTATATATACACCAAAAATACAAGTGGAGGGAAAAAAAAGATAAAACTGAACTGCTTCAATAAGTAAAATCTTTTGTGCAAAATATGACACTAGTTAGAGTGAAAAGAGGACTGAAATATTTGTAAGTTATATATGTGATAAAGAACGTGCATCTAAATTATTAGGAACATTTACAATTTAATAAGAAAAGGCAGATAATCAGGTTTAAAAATAAGCAAGGACTGTGAATAAATATTTCTTCGTATAGTAAGTACATGAAAAAATATTCAACATCATTAGCAACGAGAAAAATGCAAATAAAAACCACACTGAGATACCACATTAACACAACCAGGATTAGATTACCTAATTAAAAAAACAACACATGAAAAATACCAATAATAGGTATTTGTAAAAAATGTGAGGAAACAGGAACCCTTATATCTTACTTATGGGAAAAGAAAACAGTTCACCTGTTCTGGAAAGTAGTTTGGCAATTCCCCAATATGTTAAGTATGAAACTGCTGTATCATCTAGCAATTTCTCTCCCAGGAATATTTCCAAGAGAATGCAAAGATATATCCCCACCAAAACTTGTATATAAATAGTAGCATTATTCATAATGACCAAAAGTGGAAACAACATATATTGTTTTTAATCTAGTCATGAACAAAATGTTATGCATACACCAAAATATAAATCAGTCTTAGAAAGAAAGAAAATTCAATTCTGAAATATGCTACAACCTAGACAAACTTTGAGGAATTACGCCAAGTAAGTAGGACAGTCACATGAAGAAAAATACAATATGAGTATACTTAAATGAGGTATCTAAAGAAGACAAATTCACACAAACAGAAAGTAGAATGGTGGCTGTCAGGGACCGGGAGAAGAGGATAAATGGGAAGTCATTGTTTAATGCGGATAGAGTTTCAGTTTTACAAGATGGAATGTTCTGGAAACTAACTGCAAAACAATGTGAATGCATTTAACACCACTTAACACATTATAATGGTACGTACATGTACAAATTTTATGTTACGTACATGTTACCACATTTTTTAGGCAAAGTAACTGAATATAGTAATAAGAAAGCATACAAAGCAGATTTAATAGATAGTATACAGAACAAGTGGCCTGTACATTTCCAAAAAGTCAGTTATCAAAGACCTTAGTTTCCTGATTTGGAAAAAATCTGTTATCATATGAGAATATTCTTGCTCTTAGAAAACTCCCTGAGAGCCCTAGCTGGATTGGCTCTGTGTTAAGAGTGTCAGCCCTTGGATGGAAGGGTCTCTGGTTTGATTCTAGCCAAGGGCAAAGCATGTACCTGGGTTGAAGGCTTGACCCCTGTCCCCAGTAGGGGTTTGTGAGGGAGGCAACCAATTGATCTCTCTTGGACATCGATGTCTCTCTTTCCCCCACTTCCACTCTCTCTGAAAAGCAATGGGAAAAATATCCTCAGTTGAGGATTAAAAAAAAAAAGAGAACCCCCTGAGATATTTAGGTAAATAGTATGGGTAAAAAGATATAGGAGTCTAAAAAAATTGTTTGAAGAATGAATGATACAGCAAATGTGCCAAAGTGATACCAATTCTGAATGTGGGGAGGATTATTTGGAAGTTCTTTGTGTTATTCTAAGTAATTTCAAAATTATTACTACATAAAAAGTTGGTTTTGAAAAATGTTTCAGTGGACCCAAGTGTAACACTGTTGGAAACAGAATAAAAGGAAAAACCCTACCAACTACAGAGTCAGACAGAAAAGTATATCCGTAACAATAAATTTCTGTAATAAGAATTAGCTAATCTTCAACTGGCAAATAGGAGAATAATGACAGTATAATATGGAAATTAAGCTTGTTCATACAGTATTTTCCCTATGCAAAGAAGCCAGAACAATGGAACATAAGTATAATATTCAGATGGAGAGAAAAAAAGCCATTCTCTCTTTTTTTTAATCCTCACCCATAGATATTTTTTCCACTGATTTTTATAGAGAGTGGAAAGGAGGGAGGGAGGAGTGAAAGAGAGAGAAACTGAAGTGAAAGAGACACATCGATTGGTTGCCTCCCACATTTACCCAAAGTTGGGCCAGGAACAGAATCTGAAACACTTCAGTAAGCAGACCAAGAGTCTAACCACTAAGGAACACCGGTCACCTTGAAAGCAAAAGCCTTTTCACCTTGACCATAAGAAATCTAAACGTGAACTCCTGCCCTAGCTGGTTTGGCTCAGTGGATAGAACTCTGCAAACTGAAGGGTTCTGCGTTAAGATTCTGGCCAGGGGCATGTATATGTGGGTTGCAGGTTTAACCCCCAGGCCTGGTCCGGATGCATGCAGGAGGCAACCAATCGATGTTTCTCTCTCTCTCTAACCTCCTCTCCCTTCTGCCCTCTGAAAAGCAATGGGGAAAATATCCTAGGGTGAGGATTAAAAATAATAATAAAAATAAAAATAAGGTTACTTTCCTTTCTTATATATTAAAAGATAAAAAAATAGAAGTGAACGCCTCCCTCGATGCTGTGGCTCAGTTGGCTGGAGTGTCCTCCAGTACACTTAAGCAGGCTGAGTTCCAATCCTGTTCAGGGTGCTAGGAGAGGCAACTAATTGATATATCAATGTTTCTCCCTTCCCCGCTTCCTATCCTTGGATGAGGGGGGAAAAAATAAAAGAACTATTCCCAGCCTTACAGTGCTCTCTGTCCACAGAGGGTTCACTTTCTTCTTTGTTCACTCTTTGCGGTCCCTCATTTTAGACCTCCACTTTCATCCAACTGCCTAATGTCTCCCGTTTTCATTTCTTGAATATTTAATATATAAAAAACAGGATCCAGTACACTGAGATACCTACGTGGCTGTCCAGTTTATCTTTAAGACACTAATTATAGTTTTTGGTAGTGTTCTGCTTAAATTTTATGTGGAAGGCCAGTCTTACCTCAAAAACTGAAGCCTACGCTAAGTGCAAGGAAAGTATATGGGAGGCTATTCTAAGATGGCAGCGTAAGTGACAGCTGTCCCTGCTGCCTCCCACAACCACACCAAAATTACCAATAAAATACAGAACCACCATCACTCAGAATCTCCTGAAACCTAGCTGAACAAAAGCCCTACAACCAGGAAACTGAAGAAGCATCAAGTCCAGTAGAAGGGGCAGAGACGCGGGAGGATTAGGGCTGAATCCTGGACTCAGCAGCATTCCCACAGCAGGTGCCACGGTTTAAACCTGGGAAAGTCATCTTGGCGGTGGGGGTTTCCCAGAGAAGTGAGGGGTCCCAGGCAGCTCCTCTTAAAGGGCCCTCGCACAAACTTAGACATGCTCTCTCTGAGGTCTAGCACCAGGCGGCAGCTTGAAAAGAATCTGGGACATTTGGGAAAGAGCTAACTTGCCTAAAATTGGGGTGAGAGGTGGAAGGGCAGCTTTCGCCCAGAGAGAGGGGCTGGCAGAGGCCATTGCTCCTTTGGTGAGCCCTCCCCCTATAGAGCCAGAAGGCAGGCACCATATATGAATCTCCAGCATCAGACTCACACCTTTGGCCTCACCCTGGTGATTCCTGGAGACCCTGCCCCTCCCTACCTGCAAGGTCACCTAAGCCATTTCCAGTGCCTTTTTGATGCAAGAGGCCTCATGCTTAAGACTTTCCTTAAATCTCTCAAACAAGCAGCAGGGTGCCCTGTACGACTTGGTAAGTGGCCCCAGGCCTGGCACTAGCGGCAGCCTGTATTGGCTCATAGCTTGGCCTCTCCAACACCAAGCCCAGCACAAGTAGCAGCCAACTACAGTTTGCTGTGTAGCTCATGCTGGGTGGCCCTGGGCAAGGCACTGGAAGAGGCTGACTTTGCACCTCCAGGGAGGCCCCAGAGACAGTGCACCTGGTGATCAGACTCCACCACACTGGATTATACCCCTACCACATCCACGGGTGACACACTAAAGGGGTGCACTTGGTGCTCCATAGAGGTGTCGCCAGCACAGCAGCTCTTTGGCTATAGTTGCAGCTGGTCCTCACAGCTGATTGGCCTGGGAGTCAATTCCTCCCAGTGATGCCAATAGCAACCAAGGCTCAACACAGGGGAGCACCCAGAAGGCCAGGCTCACGTGACTAGGAAGGCTGATCCACTGCACCCTACAGGACTCCTACTACACAAAGCCACTCTACCAATACCAGGAGACACAGCAGCTTTACCTAAATACACAGAAACAAACACCTGGAAGCAGTCAAAGTGTGGAGGCAAAGAAACATGTCACAAATGAAAGAACAAAAGAAATCTCCAGAAAAGGAACTAAATGAAATAGAACCAAGAAAACTAACAGATACAGAGTTCAGAATTTTGGTTATATGGATGCTAAAGGATATTAGTAAGACTATTAAGATAACAAGTGAGACAATCGATGACCT